TCCCCAGTTAGAAGCACTTCACAAAAAAGAAAAAAAAACAAACTTCATTTTTATTTGATTAGTTGAAGTTAGCAATTATGGCTTACCAGCAGCAGCATCCCATTCCAGGACCGAGCTCGGGTTCAGGTTCAGGTCCGGGTGGATTCCATTTTATGAATTCTCCATTTGGGGACACGACTTTCACTAAGGTTTTTGTTGGAGGGTTGGCTTGGGAGACTCAGAGTGAAACCATGAGACGCTACTTTGAGCAATTTGGGGAGATACTTGAGGCTGTGGTCATCACTGATAAAAATACTGGCCGATCCAAAGGATATGGTTTTGTGAGTTCGTATATTCTTGGATGATAATTTTAATCTCTGTTTTGTTTTTGTGGATTATGCATTCTTTCTTTCTTCTGCTGTTTAAAAATGTTGTTGGTGACTGTACACTCTGATTTAGATCATATGAGATTCTGTAGTGCTCTGTCAATAAATTAATCAATTTCCAGTTTTCTGTTTCTTCTTTACTTGTGAGTTATCAAATAGGATTTTTATTTGTTTATTGTGGTTGAGGTAATATAATGTGGATAATTTGATGGCTTTTGTCCCTAAATGGTGTTTGTATGGAGGGTTTAGGTGACTTTCCGTGACCCTGAATCAGCTAGAAGAGCGTGTGCAGATCCAACTCCAATTATTGATGGGAGGCGAGCAAATTGTAATTTGGCATCACTTGGGAGACCTCGTCCAGCAGTTCCTTTCGGTAATATACTCAATTACCTCAAATATTTCGGATGATTTGGATTTTAAGCTGTCCTTTTATTATTTCTGTGTCATTGTTTCTAGTTCCTACTTAATTTCTGATTGGATGTTGTATAGCGTAGTTAGAATTTTTTAATTTACCTGTTACCCTTTGAAGATCGAGCAATTCACAAATAGTATTAATTCCTACTTTTCCTTTTTAATAATTTGGTACGTTACCCAGGGAAAGATCCTGCATTTGCACATTTATGCTTATGCTTCCAATTAGGTTTATAAACTCTCGAAAGCATATTCTGGTCAAGAAAAGAAAACTTCGAGGTGATGATTTATAGCCTCGTTTCGGAAATCTCAATCGAGCTTATGTTGTTAAGTGGCAAGCTTTTTCTTAAATGTATCTTGAATAGTTTTGTATCTTTGCATATTTCTAAGAACAATTGTTTGAATCGAGTTTCTAGCATTTGGTCCATATGTGTAAAGTCACCACAGGTAGTAATTTAGTTTGATCCTTGGAAGATTATGAACGTATGAGTTGAGTTTCTAGGTTTCACCTCAACTAACAGTATAATATACATATGTCTATGTTTATTGCTTGCAGGACGCCTTAGATCTCCGGCACCTTACCTTGGAGGCATACCGGCAGCTAGGGGTGCTTATCCTGGAAGTTATGGCTACCAGCAACCAGTTACATATGGATTTCAACAAGGCTTGATGTATTCTCCTTATGGGTGAGTGACATTCTATGATGTAATTTTGTGAGGTGTGGTTTGATGGATCCTTTTGTTACTTCTATGTGTTGAAAAATTTTTGTTGATTATGAAACTGGTTTATACAGATCAACATCCATGCTTCGGGTCTTTTAAGCAAACCTGTCACTATTTAAGAAATTGTATCATCACGTTTGTTATGCATTAACTGTATTCAACTGACATCAAACAAACAGGCAGTTATAACTTATAAATATTATGTTGCTTAGCTTTGATTCAAGAAAAATACAGTTTCAGTTTTTGTCATGTATAATTATGATGGGCTTATTTTTTTCGTTTAATCATTTAATGACATCAGAAGGCATGGCTTTAGTGAACCATTGCATGGTGATGATCTTATTAGTTTTTGGTCATTACTGTATTGTTAAAGATGATTGTTTGTAAAAATACTAGGTTTATTGTCTTTGGAATCAGAAGGTGATGGGGAATTGGAGTCTGAAACTATTACCTCTAACTATAATAGCTATGTTAGTTTCGTTACTGAAAAACAACAGACCTATGTTGTTGTGAGAGGCTTGTGGAATATAATTCACAAGGGTGGTGATGGTGAAAAAAGTATTTGGAGGTCCAATTGGTAGTAGTTTGATTCTTCACGGGCTTATGTTTGGTTTGTTGAAATAGAATAATACACCGATCAAAGTTGAAATTTTTCATTTTCTGTCTTGGATTCCTTGAATCTACTGCAGATTTCTGAAAAAGATTTGCCCATTACACTTCATACTATTTGCTACACTTAATACTCTGATGTTGGTTACTTTTTTACTGCTTTTTATTAATTTCATCCAAGTTATCAATTTCACTCAATTGACGATCTTTTTTTTTGTTCTTTCTTATTTTTTTGTCTTTCGAAGAAGCAGGTATACTGCATACAGTCCAGACTATGCTTATCCTCAGGTCAACCAATAGGAAACGTACTACTGAATATTCTCCATGCAAATATATTTTGAAGTCATTTTGGCATTTTTTTTTTCATTGTCTTGTGCAGGGTGTTTACAATCCATATGGGAATCAACAGTTCCTTCAGATATATGGCGTGCCAGGAACTGTTGGCACAACTATGTATCCTTATAGCCAGTTGAGTCAGGCAAGTCCAGGAAGTCACAGTTATTCTGCATTGCCTGGATATGCAATGCCAGGTCATCAGATAATGCAGTTTGGTGGACCAAGTGCCAATGTGATGACATCATCCTCTGTTCCAACTATTCCAGTGCCATATCCTGCAGGTAATTATTCTAATTTCCCCTTACCCAGCATTGTTTATCTGTCCGTGCTCGTGTTTTATCACTCTGGAGTTTTCACATTGTTCTCCTTATCCCGACATGCTTGTAATGGATTTATTTTAAGTTTTTGCTTTTCAAGACCTAATTTTTGTAGAAGGCCTGATTTTTCATTATGAATGTTCCGATTTTGGATGTTTTACCTGTTTGGAGTCCCTTCATATGAAATTTTGTGAAAGCCAAGTAATAACCACAGTTACCTGGATTGTGTTATGATTTGAGTTGTGAGATGGGTACAGATGATGACATTGTAATCCGTGCAGAGTAGGAAGAAATAGGCTTAGTTGATAAGACAGTACTCAGTTGCAGTACGGTTGAAATGGACACATGGTTGATACTATATAAATTTTAGACGATGAAATTGGTGAAGGCACGTATTAATTAAGTTCGAAGGGTAATTGTTAAGTGATGATTTGGGAAAGCAATTAGGTACTAATATGCTAAGATCTTGCAGATCAAATCATTTGCCCAGATGTATAAGATCTTGTTTGTTGATACATTAGTAAGTCAAGATCTTTTTAACTACTTAGTATTTTGCTTAAGATTTTATGAATCAATTGTTTTCCTGTGAATCAATCACTCTCGCCATTTAACTTATTTTTTTTGGTCCATCAATTATACGTCTACCTAGTCATTCATTTCATCATTTTTAGGTTCTTTGAGATTTAATATATTTGAAACATGAAGATCTGGGCCTAACATTTTTGGTTAAATTAGGTGCCATTCCACAACAACCACAATTCATACTACCTGCACATGCTCCTCAATTCATGCCAGGTGGCGGTTCTGACCAAAACGCTGGGTGAGGATTAATCTAGGTAAGTTTTCTAATTCAAGTTTGGATGTATTTGTGTTTTGGTTTGACTATGTGGATATATACCCGATTACTTCTATTACTATTTTCTCAGGTTCCCTTAGATTGCAGCAGGACTAAGAACAGCGGCATTGCCACTTGGTTGGCAGGCTTCAAATCTAGCCTTGCAAATTATTCGTTTTGCATTCTAGTGGTATCTTACTGGTCCCAGTATATTTTTACACTTGTTTTTTTGTTTTTTTCTTTTTCCGGTAACACATGATTTAATCTTGAGAAGGGGTAATTCAGTGGGTAGTAAACAGACAAATAATGAACTAAACTAAAAGTTCTTGTCTAATGAGCTAGTCAATTGTCTCTGATTGAGGATGAGAACAGATTTATACTTCAAATATTAGTCAAAGTGCAAGCTTATGCATACTGGTTTAAGCTACATCTATGAACATGAGAAATCTCACTTAGGTAGAGGTACAGTGGTTTTATTGGGCCTCTTTTACTTAAGCTGATAGGATAGGAGATAGGATAGGATATGGTTGGATAACTCCTGTTATCCAAGGTTTACTAACCATGATGGGATTGGATAATAAGTTGCTGTGTCCTGTGGCTCCCACACTTTTATGCACAATTGGCACACAATTATTTTGTCTGGTCTTGAGGGTGGGACAATTTATTCCCACCATACAAATGACCATTTTGTTCAAATTACAGATTTAGGCTATATAAATTTTCCTGTGGTCCCACACTTTTACCTCGTATTTTGCTTTTTATCCCGTCATTCTATCTAGGTTAATAATTGCTTGATTGTTTTTGCCTTAAAATGCATCATGTTTTGTAAGCATTGGACACAAGCTGATGTGTAAAGTTAATGGGATTAAAGTTGTCCAATTTCATCCTATCCCATCCCATAAAGTAAAAGAGGCCTTGATATCGAGATGCTGCATCTCTTGATTAAGGGCATAAACAAGAAATAGGGTAGATTACCAAAACTTCTCATGAGGTTTAGCTGAATCATCTAAGAAACCGAAAAATGAACAGACCCACCAACATTTTAAGTGAATGTGAAAAATGATAGCTGACGATGCGTGAGTTATTTATTTGCAAGTCTGAAAATGTTGAGAATTTCGATTTTCGAAGAACATGTTCTAGTTATTATCAATGTTATCCTTGTTTATGTATGCGGTTTCTTTAACTGTTCTATTTATCAAAACTTTCCGGGCATATGCAGGTCTTAAAATTGTTACGCTCACCAGAGAAGTCAAAAAAAGTCTGAGTCTCACCTTATGATGGAGGGAGGAATTTAACTTCCTGTATATCTAAAAAAAATACTTGTATTTTCTGCTAGCCTTCTGGATGACTAGCAGACCAAGTCAATGGACGAACGGTAGCTAGAATGGGTTTTCTAGCTCCCGATCTTTGGAAATAATGAACCATGTGAA